TTTTGCTTGCCTGGCACTTTTGAAGATAACATTGAGTCTTCATCAGTGTCAACGATCACATCATCGGTATCACGTCTATCGAGAGGGGACAAATACCGGCAACACAGAAGGGAACACAATCAATGCAATGCACAATATGATGCATGATCATGACATGGCAAAATGAATGTGTTTTGAGTCAATGCAACTAGCAACAGATTAAATGAAGTTGGTTTGAATACAAGATTCAAATTCAAACTCCATATGTGATTATTTAAATGCCCTTTATTTGATTTGTGCTAAACAGCAGCTATAAGTTGTTCTAACATGCATGAAAATGGTACCGATGGATTCCTTGAATTTTTCTGATAATTTTTCATATATAAATTATTTAATTTGGAGTTACGGTTAATTTTCTATGAATTTTAGAAGTTTATATTCATTTTCTGGAATTTCAGAATTAAATTAAATCCAGAAAACATTACTGCGTCAGCATGACGTTGGCATGACGTCAGCAAGTCAACAGGGGCCGGCTCGGGTCAAACCTGACGTGTGGGGTCCACACGTCAGTGACACAGGGGCTAATCCCGCGTTGACTCGGGCTTTGACCCGCTACGGGGCCCGCTGTCAGTGTCACAGGGTTAGTTAGCAGGGTCATTAGCCCCTAACGACGACGCCACGTCAGCACGCCGGAGACCAGCCGACGGCGACCACAGAACACGGCGGGGCACGCCGGACTTGCGCTAGAGGCGTCAGTTTGGTGCGCTGAGGGCACCAGGGGATGGCCCTTGCTCCCGCGCATCCAGAGGACCGAGTGGGAGGTCGTGGGGTCGCCGGAACTCATGCCGGCGACGAGCTTTGGCGGCGATGGTGTTCGGTGGTGCTCGGGCGCGTCGCTACGGTGCATCAGTGAGCAAATGGAGAGGCTGGGCAGCACCTGCTAGACATGGGGAGCACTAAGAGCAGCTCAGTGAGGCCAGGGGAGCACGGAGGCTATGCGTGCAGCAGCAATGGCGGACGGTGGCTTCGGTGCTCGTGGGGAACGGCGCTACGGCACGGAGGGGAGCATGCTGAGTTAGGGGAGAGGGTCAGTGACTCACGGCGATGACGAGGGGACGCTCGGCGAGGTCGGGGACGGTCCGGAGCCGGCGAATTTGACGAAGATGGCCGGCGGTCCCGAGGTTGAAGAAGGCATCGAGGGCGGTGTTGTGGCACGTCCGGGGCCTCGTGGCTCGTTGAGGAGGTAGAGGGAGGACCGGTGGAGCTTCCTGGGGCGTCGGTGAGCCGTGGGGTGGCCGGTAGCCACGGTGGCTCTCGTCGGTGGCGGCGGCTCCGTTCGGTCGCGGGAGGGGAAACAGAGGAGCGAGGGGGAGGGAGGTCCAGAGAGCGAGGGAGAAGTGAGAGGGGGTCGGGGCTGCGTGGCGTCGCGGGAGGGACCAGGGAAGGAGGAGGCAGCCAGGCAGGGAGGAGGTGGCCTCCTCGGCCGCGCGCGTGCAAGCACGCAGCTGCTCCCACTGGCAAGAGGAAGACGACAGGGGGGGGAGTAGCGGTGGCGGGCTGGGCCGGCTGGGCCGGTTCTGGTGGGCTGCACGGGTGAGGCCAGGTAAGTCCTTCTCTCTCTCTCTTTTATTTTTTTCTTCTGTTTTGTTTTATTTAATTTCGTTTTGCCACTGTTTTGAATTTTAAACAAATTCAAACAATGCCAAAAACTCCTCTGAATAATTTTATTTGGCTAGATGGACTTTTCCAAAAGCTCATAAAATATTTCAGGGGTATTTGAAATTATATTCTAATTATATGAATATAATTCAAATTCAAATAGCTAATGATTTAAATTCAAAGTCCCAAAAATAAATCCTTAAAAATGTTCAATATTTTGGTTGGGACCAGAACCCTTACCAAAAATTATCAAACATTTAAGAAGAGCCTTTTGGAGCAATGAATGAGATTTCTAAGGTTTTTGCCCCTCTTTTATTTAGGGTTTTGAGGCTTCCAATATTCCTCAATTCAAGTTTCAAAAATATAGACATGATGCACACATGAAGCTAGGCTAGAGCAATGCCAGAAGCTAGGGATGTGACATAAGGTTTGTAGGGGCTAAAAAATATTGTTAGTGGATGCTGACGTGGCACACTTGGTGAGATGGATGGTTTGCATGTTGAAAGAATTAGAAGTAGTAGGGATCAACTATTTATGTATTATAGATAAGACGAAGAAAAAGATGATGGTTATGTTACCATGATGTAACACTTTTCAACAAAAATAAATCTACAAACTAATAAATGAAGTCATATATGATACTACCTACATATTACTTTGCACTACTAGTGTAATACAAACCTTTCTGATAAACATGTAAGTGATTGTTTTTGTTCGTCCGCGCGTAGGGCGAAGGGCTCGCTAGGCGGAGATGGCACCTGCATGGACCCTCCACTCGCTGACCCAGCCCAGGCGCCATGGCCAGGCCTAGCGTTGTGCTGGTCGGCAGGGCGGAGGGTCGGAGACGATGTCGCCGTACTCAAATTTTAGTGTAGCGACTACGCCTCGTGTGTTCGCATAAACGATGATGTACGTATGTGTACATCATCCATCTAATCTAAATCACGAAAAGAAACGAGGGTAGACGGAGTCATTCCAGGACGAGAGATGATGGTCCAGAATAATAAAGATGGTCCTGGAAAAATACCTTTACTTACCAAATACTCCCAATTGGTGTGGTGGTGGTGGTTCGTCTACTAGACGGTTGAACGGGTTCCAATTGACTAAAGAAACGAACCCGCAGTTGACCGACATAGCCACCCCACTGTACGTAGTTTTCCTTTTCTTTCAGAAATGTCTACTGTACACACGTCACATATTTTTGTTACGACATGCATGCCTCCTTTTATACCCCTCCTCTTGGATTAGTTCCTCTCAGTGGAGAAAAGAAGCCACCGCCCAGTTGCACCAGACACGCGCGGCCATGGGGAAGAAGGTATGCCTGCTCTCGCTGGACGAGGACATCGTCATGGTGCTCATCGTCGTCGCCGTCGTCGTGGTGGGGCTAATACTCGCCGCCCTGCAGCCACCGCCCCGCCGCCGCGCCGTCGCCTGCTTCTACGGCTGACTCCCATCGTCAAAGATCGACCCTTTTCTTAATTTTCTTTGGTAGTATAAAGTTTGCAGTTGCAGATAAGGTGAGCTACGTCGTGATTTGAAGTCTTGTCATGTTTTCCTGATCTGGAAGCTACACTCTGCTCGGTTTAATCCTTCTGGCCGTGCTTTTCAGTACTGTAGTGCAGTTGTGTGATTTCTTTCTTTTTAGACGAAACGTATCCCCTCTGTAAAGAAGTATAAGAGCGTTTAGATCACTACCTGTAACCACCATGGACTGTCACCGGTTGTGTTAACGAGAGATTTGGACTTGGTAGTGGTTTTGACGATGTCTGTCGTATTACTATCCTGTTTTGGGATTTGAAATGTGTAATGCAGTATATGTTTGATCACTTTCTCGCATAAAAATACAACTTCCTCTCGTATAAATTCCTGTGACTGTGAATGCAGTATACATGGTAACTGGGAGTCTGGGACCCTCACAAAATGAAACTGTCTCGCATATAAATTCTTGCCCTGTGAAATATTGCATCACACAACAAAGCTCTGCCACTCAAAAACCTTCACAAGTTGTACTACCACTTTGATCTGCCATGGGTCAAGTTCATATTGGAGCACCCATTACAATACTGGCTGGCCCCATTCAATTCAATTTAATCTGGCCTTTTCCAGCAGCAATTCCCTGAGCTATGTACCACCCTGGCCAAGTTCTTCAGGCAGGGGATTTTGCAGAATTTTTCCAGCCCAAGCTTATGTCCAATGTGCTGATTGAGGGTACCGGGCTCATCTTCCTTGTCACTGGGTATGGAAGAGTGCTTGCCAGCTCAACCAAAAAAATTTCTCCTGGCTGCTGCTCCAGGAAAGCTTGGACACCAGAAATCTTCTTCAAAGGAAGTCTTTTCACCTGCCTGCATAAACATGTGTTCTCTGTAATGTTCAAGTGGAGGAAGCACAGCTGCACCTATTCTGGGATTGTGAATTTTCTCAAGACTGCTGGCGGATTATTGCCCACAGTAAGCTCAGAGGAATTTCTTTCATTCATGAAATAGAACTATTGAGATCATCATTTTTGCGCTATTGGACATTGGTTTTTAATCATGAGAATCCAAGTGTTGCTACTTGCCAGAGAAACCTCAAAGAGGATCACACTCTAGTTACACACAGAGTGAAGCCAAAGCTTTTACTTCCTTTCAAATCCTGGACACATCACTTCCTGAAATCTTCCTCTTTTCACTTTGTAGTTTGTACATAACATTGTAGATATTCTTTTTTTTTACAGTAGGACCCTTTCCTAATGTTTTCCTATCACAAAAAAAGCAACATATAAACTCTTCCTTGGGTTTACATAACTGAGGCTTAAAAGTTGGATGTTGGTATCGTTAAGGCACTGGCAGAAAGAGAAAAGGAATAGGACCTGGACCGAAATGTATATGCTGAAAGACGTTGCCATTTCATCTACATGGACACAAAACTCTGGCTGCATCCAGAGCCAACAATGTACTGAGAAAAGGGTTGTACACACTGATCCATCAATTAAGGGGGTTATTACATTTATTTACAAAGCCCCTGAAACAATACCTACATGTGAAATTCAGACCGTGTAATGTATGCAGCGAAACGATGGTGGACGTGACAGTGACAGGCTCCACCGGTGAAACCTTGCGAGCGCTCACTCTGGTGGTGCAGTACTACACACCTCGCTGCGCATTATTCCTCCTCTCCTAACAACGCTCTCTTCAAAATCGCCAGCATGCCAAAACATCAAGCAGAGCTCAGCTCACTATCCGAGGATTTCATCGGTTACACGCACTTTGCTTGCCTTCTCATGGCGTCTCCAAGCCTCGGCCCAGACATTCGCATCTGCAAGTGCGCGGTCTCTGTCGACACCGTTTGGAACAACCCTGCCCCGTCCTCCACGGTTGGAGCCACTCCTGCAATGTTCTTTTCCTTCTGGGACGAAGTCATTCATACGGTCATGCATCGACGTTTGAGCTCCATGTTGACTAGCCAAAGCATCATCTTGGTTAACCTGATCGTCTGACACTTTTGATGCTGAAGGGCCATCAAGGTAACGGCGAACAGCAGCGTCATTCCCATCGTATGTTTGTGATGACAAATAGGAGAGAGCAGCAGCAACTTCCCTAATCAGAGGGCGATTCCTTGACTTCTCCTGCAAACACATCGCTGCAATAGCCAAGGCCTGGTACAAACCCCTCTTTGGAAAGCGGCCACGCAACAAAGGATCAGCCATCTTTGGAAATTTCCTTTGGTCTTTGAACAATGGACGAGCCTGCAAATGGATTGGTAGAACATTCAATCAACATCAGCATACTTATGCTCAATATATCAAAGGAAATATATGAACACACTCGATTTATGACTGCATATATATTTCGAATGAAACTATTTCTTTAGATGTTCAGGGACCTAGATAAATAAATTAAATGATGTGTCATGTTTGAAAATGACGAAAATCCTGGAGATGTAAGATGATTAGTTCCTGGGCATATACAACTAGGGAAGTGTGCCTAGCTCATTTGGTTACGGATGCGAATTTAGGCTCCTATTTATGCTGTAGGGGTCACCTCTAATGTTCTCCATCGAAAAAGATGTATACGGTCGGCAATCATCCACCACTTGTCCCAAAGCCAAAGCCAGAGGAAAGTATGAAAGTAGAAGGCCGCTGTAGGTAGCCACCCCTCCCTTCCTGCGCCGTTGGCCGCGGCGGTCACCGCCCCCGCGCCCAGCATGGGCGCGCCGCCCCATCACCCTGCTTCCGCCTCGGATCCGCATGGCCGCCCCGCTCCTGGCTCTGACCCGCGGGTCTCCTCGGCGCCCCCCGCTCCATCCCCGGCAGAGAGCCCGGGCCGTGGCGCGTCTTCAAGGCCGGATCCGGCGGCCCCGCCGCGCCTGCTGCTGCGTGGGGGCTGCTCTAAGGCGCCTACCTCGGAAGACCCGACGGATCTCAGCCCCCCCCCCCCAGCCCGACGCCTTCAATCCATCATCGTCGTCCCATCCCCAGCGGTCGATCATTCCCCTACCGGAATGGACGGTGACTGGACCGAGGTCTCCTCGCGCAAAAGCCGTAAGGCAGCCCTGGATCCGCCGATTCCTTCAAAGAAGAGCGCGGCTCCGCGCTCGGACCGGCGGCCGAACTTCAATGCGGTGGGTGGCCGGGGAGCTTTCTTAAGCCGCTTCCGCGGCCGCTGCTTTCGCTGCCTCAGCAAGCACCACCATAGAAAGGACTGCCGCGACCCTCTCCGCTGCGTGATCTGCGAGCTCTGCGGCCACTTTGCCAGGGAGTGCCCCCAAAATCCACGAAACAGCCATGGCGGCCCTGTCTCCAGTAGGATAGGTCCGCTCCCCCCTCGCTCCTCGGTCGACACTCGCCTCCGTTTCCCCACCCCGCCCCCGCCACCGCCGGCCCCTCCATCCCCAACGGCTGCTGACATGGCTGAGCTCAGCTTGGTCGACCCGGCCAGGCGCCCCCGCGCAAGCCACAAGGTCGGCGAGTCCACCCCGGCCATCAAGCAGAGAGTCTTCTTCCTTCGACGCCACGCCGTCACGCTGCGCGCGGCCGACGGAATCTGCACCACCTCGCCCATGGCGGTGGGCCGCGCTTTTGAGGCGCAGCTGTGCGTCCCAGCGCACCACCTGCGGGTGACAGCGCACAACCCGGAGGATTTCTTCGTCACCTTCACCCAGCCAGCCCACCACGACAACGCGGTGCGCCGCGGCACCCTGCGCATCGACGGCGTCAACTTCAACATCGCGCCCTGGGGTGAAAACGACCACGCTGGCCACGGCATCTTCAACCTCCACGTCCGCTGCGTCATCGAGCACCTGCCTCAACAGTGCTGGACCCTGGAGGGTGTCCACGAGGTGTTCGGCGACAAGGTGCACATCGACCGGCTAGACAGCCGCACGCTGGAGCGCGACCACACCAAAACCTTCGCTTGCTGGGTGTGGGTCTGGGACATGGCGTTCATCCCCACCCGGCACACCTACTGGAAGCTCCCTCAGGGCGCCGGCCGTGTCGAAGAGATGGAGGGCCACTCGCCGCCCGATCGGCGTGTCGCCCTGCCGCCCGGTGCCGAGCGCTACGACCTCCTCATCCATGTCGACAGGGTGGAAGACTGGTCCCCCCGCTCTCCGCGCTCATCCCACTCAGCTCAGAGCGGCCTGCCCTCCTCCGACTCCGTCCACGACGACAGCTTGCCGCGCACCTACTCGGGCACTTGGGTCATGCATGTGGAGGACAGCCAGATGGAGGAGCGCCACCGCCGTCTGCAGCGCGCGCCGATGGTGGACACGGGCTGTCGCGGCCTGCCTCGTGGCGGCCCCCGCCGCGACGATGAGGGGACGAGGGGCGGCGGCGGCGGTGGCCGGCGCTCCTGGAAGGATACGCTGCTTGGGCGCGGGCGCGGCTCCAACGCCTCGTCAGGAGTGGACGGGGCCACCAGCAGGGTGCGCCAGCGCAGCCGCTCCCCTCCCCCCCGCCGCTCTGGAAGCTCAAGAAACCACGGCCAGCATGGTGGCCGCGACCGATCGTCCGGCAAGGCGTACCCAAGCAAGAAGAAGAGCGGCAGCCAGCGGCTGGCAAGTCAGCTGCACGTGCCCACACCTACCCCTCCCGCACGTGCGCCGGCCCCCGACGGCGTCGACGGGTTTTTCGCCACGACTGACAAGGCCATCCCCGCCCCCCTGCTCTCCGGAGACGTCGTCGCGGCCCAGCTCGACGAGATGATCGCGGCGTCGACGGCCGTGCCCCTTGACTTCGACGAGGGTGCAAGCAAGAGGAGGGGCATGGAGGCGGTGGAGATGCCGGACGCATTCAGCCCCACGCTCTCTGGAGCGTGCCACAACCCGGCTCTCCTCAGCTGCCAGGCACCGACGGCCGTGGCCACGGTTGCCGTCCAGCTGGGAGAGGTGACGCAGCAAGTTCAACACCTGGAGATTGCAGAATCCTCTGCCGCCCCACGACGCCTCTTCTGCGACAAGCCGGCCCCCCTGCTCGGCCTGCCACCGTCCAAGCGAAGCTCTGCTCCACCCAAGGTCTGTGCTACGTCAGTTCCCCCGCCGCGTCAGAGCGCGCGTCAGGCGGCCCAGAACTGCAAGGTGCCGGTGGCGCAGCGCGGCTCGCTCCGTCTGGTCCAGGGGCTGGGCCTCCTTGGCCCGAAGGAGAAGATGACGAAGAAGGCTGCGGAGGCGCTCGTGCGTAGGTTCGATGAGCCCCTGTCCGACGAAGATATCGCCGTCATCGCCAAGCTCACCAGGCTGGGCAAGGACGCTCTACGCATCGCTGCTGGTCTCAACGGGTCGGAAGGAGTCGCCGAGGAGGCCATGGTTTAGTCATGTTAGGAACCAACCTGTGTTGTAGCTGTAGTTCTAGTTTCCGGCGACGGCCAGCACTCGGCTGGTCGGAGTTAAGTTTGCTTCAATCCTGTATCAGTACATGGCTGAGGCCGGTCCGGCGCCGTCGTGATTTGGGGCCTATTGGTGGTTGACGGCGTCCCCCG